GATTGCATTTAATTTCCAAGACCACCATATTACTTTCCACAGTGGCTGCATCATTTTATATTCTCACCAGTGGTGCACAAAGGTTCCAGTTCCTCCGTATCCTTACCAACATTTAATGTGTCCTTGTTTTAGTTTCTTTTTTATTTAGAGGGCCCTAATGTCTATGTCCATGTCTGTGTCTATGTCTGTGTGCGTCTCTGACAACTTGTTCATTATATCTCACTGTATCAAATACAAATGTGTTCGTCTGAGGCCAGGGACCTGAGGAAAGTTTAACTGTCTAAGGGAAACAAAACAAAAACCATAGGCAAACAGCTGGTAACGCTGAGTAGTTTCTTTTTTATTTAGAGGGCCCTAATGTCTATGTCCATGTCTGTGTCTATGTCTGTGTGCGTCTCTGACAACTTGTTCATTATATCTCACTGTATCAAATACAAATGTGTTCGTCTGAGGCCAGGGACCTGAGGAAAGTTTAACTGTCTAAGGGAAACAAAACAAAAACCATAGGCAAACAGCTGGTAACGCTGAGTTAGCTATGCCACATTCAGCATAAGGACTCAGTGTATTCTGGATCGTTGCTTATTTGTCCTGGGCGTATTAATGTTCATCTCTGTGCTAAACGCCTCTCCAGAGCATGGCTACTGCATCAGATCAATGTGTTTCTTTTTAGTAGAACAGCAAGCACTTTCCAAAGATCCCCACTGTGTTCTTCTGGAACTTGACGTTCACCTAGCTGCAAGGGAGGCTGGGAGACACTGGGAGAAGTGCTGATAAGCACTGTGCTTGAGATGACCTCATCCCCAACAGTGAGCCGGCTTCCTCCATGGAAGAGAACAGGCATGAGGCCAGGGGCCTTGCCTGGCTTGTTCGTTGCTCATTCCAGAAGAGTGCTAGCTGCCTCATGATTGCCTCAGGAACATCTACTGAACTAAAGAAGGCTCTTCCTTCCAGTGCAGATACAAACAGCATCTTATGCAAGCCACGCAGTGCTTTGTGTAGCCAACCATATCAGCTACATGATAGACTTTTAGTTTTATTTCTGTTTTCTCTGCAGGATTATGGGGAAGTGCTCTGGCTAATTCTGAAGAAGTTAAAAAATTCATTTTGGGTGAGTATTTGAAGAACAGAAGGGCCAAAGCCTCCAGATGTTTTGTGCCAGGAGGTTTACTGTATTTTCCTTGTGCAGGGCAGAAGAAAGATCTGTATGTCATTGTTTAGCAATTGCATTTTCTAAGTGTGTTGTTAACATCTCTTAATCCTTTACTGAGGCAGCCAGTGTAACTACAGAGTGGCCAAGAGTACAGGCCCCTTGGGAGGAATATTGCTCTCGTACATGTGTGCTTTGAGACCTCCGGAAAGTTACCTCACCTCTCTGTGCCTCAGTTTCTGTATCTTTAACGTGGGGTGATAAGTGTAGTAATTATGGAAATTCAGTGAGTCAGTTCCTCGAAAGCCTATAGACAAAGGCACTAGGAGGTAGCAGTCATTGCCTGCCCTATCTCACAATCTTTGTAATAACTCTGTAACGCTCTGATCACCCGTGGCTGTGTTGTGCAGAGAAACATTGCTCCAGCCTCTGCTTTCTTACAGATCAGTTACTGCACCTGAAGGAGAAATTTCTCCAGGAAGGTAAGCGTCCCACACCGCTGGGAGTTGCTCCTGATGCCGTGGACCGGGCACTTGCTTGGGCCGCCCCTGGCCTCAGAAGGTCGCATGAGATGAGCATGTGTGCTCAGCATCACTGAAGAGAGTGCTCTGACTGCCTCCCCGCTCAAGTGGAATGGCTGTGACTGTCCTCCCGCGGCCACGGGTCCCAAGTGCAACAGTGTTGGGAGTAAAGCCTAACAGGGCGATTAGGTCGCATGCTCTGTGCTCACAGGTGGTTTATGTCGTTGATGTCACAGAGGTGGGTTAATTATTGCAAGAGTCGGTTTGTTATAAAAGTGAATCTAACCTCTCTTGCTTCCTTGCTCTCACCCTCTCCCTCCACCATGGGACGATGAGGCAAGAAACTTTTGCAAGGTGCCAGCACCTTGATGTTGCATCGGCCAACCTCCAAATTATAAGAAATACGTGACTTTTCTTTGTAAATTACCTCTCCTGTTGTAACGTCCAAACAGACGAAGGAAGAAATCAAGAGGCACATAGGCTAAGTGATGTGTCCAAGGCCCCACAGCCAGAAGGGGTGGGGTGCGTCCCTAGCTCTCATGTGCAGAATCGCCCACGTACCCTAGGTATATCTGAGATCCAGATGATGTCAGAGGTAGAAAGTGGGTACAGCTCAAAGCAATAGAAGAAAAGTATTTCTCAAGAATGTGTGGACTGCGAGTTCAAAGAAGCACGCAGGAAAGTCTTTGCTGCACAAAAGAAGAAGCCCCAGTGTGCTTTTTGTTGTGGTTGCCGTTGTTTGGTACCAGGAATCAAATTCGGGCCCTTGCGATTGTGAGGCAGTCAGCAGAACCAATGAGCCAAATCCCCAGCCCTGCTGTTTTTTGATACAGGGTCTCACTATACAGTTCAGGGTGGCTTTGAACTCACTGTGTATCTCAGGCTGGCCTTGAACTTGTGGCAGTCCTCCTGCCTCAGCCTCCTGAATGCTGGGATTACAGGTGTGCTCCATCATGCCTGCCCCCCCAGAGTGCTTTAAGATGCAAAGAATGTACGTGGGCTCACGAAAAAAAAGATGGGTTGGGTGACCATCCTGAGCCGCTCTCTCCCAGGTGGAGACTCAGGGGTCAAGCTGCAAGTGTCTCATTACTCCGTGTTCGTTCCGTAAGAGAGCTGGAGGGTCATGAAGGGCTTCTGTGTCCAGGCCTGGAGGTGCCAGTCGTTTCCTGTTGGCCAGGATCAGTCACAGGGCCCCACCTCCTGTGAGAGGAGTTTGGCAAATGTCACCTTGTGTGCGTAGAAGGAGCAAAGGGGAACACAGAGCAGGGTTGCCTCCTTGTGGGCCAGCAGTCAGGGCCCCATCTCAGTCAGTAGACCTGCTACAAGAAAGGCCCGTGGGTATGGTTAACTTATAAGCAACAGAAATTTATAATTCGGTTCTAGAGGCTGGGAGTCTAAGATCTGGGTTCTGGGAGAGGGGGGTTCTAGGCGGTAGACCCTATGCCAACATCTTGCATTCTCACAAGCCAGGATGATAAGAGAGCTCTCTGGAGACCCCTTTTAAGGAAATTCACTCCTTTCTGTGAGCTCCAACCTCGTGACACAAGTGCCACCCAAAGCCTCCACCTCTAGGGTTAGGATTTTGGTGCATGGATTTGGGGGATACAAGCACTTCCCACCCTTGCTTTTTTTGCTCTCCCCTCACCCAGGCTGCTCAGGACACCTGCCTTTCTTCCTCTCCATCTTCACCTGTACCTCAGTGTCTGTGCCGTCTGCGTGAAGCTCCTTTTCCCTCGGAAACCACCACCTCACTCTCACCCATCACCCATGAGGAACAGTGTTTGGGTGTGGTCAGAAAAACACATCACGATATCGATCATGTTCACTATTCAGAAATGTCCCATTCAGTGGCATTAAAGGCATTCACAGTGCTGTGAACGCCTCGCCATTATCTATGCCCAAATGTTTTCATCACCCCCAAATTTAAGCTTGCTATTCATTAAAGAATAACTTTCCCTCTCCCTCTCTCCAGTCCCTCACCGATAGCTCTCCTCTGCTTTCTGTCTCTGTGAATTTGCCCTTTGTTTAGTGCCTCTTATGCAACAGACTAGATGCTTATGTCTCCCCAAAATGCATAGGCTGAAATCTGAGTCCTCTAGGTAGAATCCCCTACCTAGGCGTGACACCAAGAGTTGGAATCTCTGGAAGGCGGTTAGGCTATGAGAGAGAGTGGTGCCTCGTGGTAGGATTAGAGCCCTGGTAAAGGATGCCCCAGAGAGCTAGCGGGTCCCTTTGCCATGGGAGGGCACTGCGGGCTTTTACCACGTGAACTACAGAGCAGACCCTCCCCAGGCATCAGATCGGCAGACGTATTGACTTGGACTTGCCAGCCTCCAGTGCTGTGAGAAATTAGTTTTCTAAAGCAGTCCAAATGGAGCAGGACATCCCATAATGCAACCACACAATGTCAGTCCTTCTTCGTTTGGCTGGTTTCACTAAGTGTGCTGTGTTCAGAGTCTGTCCATGCTGTAGCACACATGGAAACGTCAATTCCTTCCGATGCTGGGGTGGTGTTCATTGGTGAGGTGTTTCACATTTCATCTGTCGCTGCACACTGGGATTATTTGTACATTTTGGTGATGGTGACTAGTGCTGCTCTGAATATTGGTCACGGCAAGTTTTAACAGATGAGGAAGCTGAAGATCTGAGGTGTGAGGTAAATGTGTTGGTGGTTACGAAATTAATGAGACAGGATTTGAGATGTGTTGATCGAGGTGGTGGTGGGGTAAGAGTCCCACTGGAAACTGTGCCACGCCCCACACATTGAAACTACTCCATGAATTGTAGATGAGAGATTTTACCGTGGAAGCCCAGAAGATGCTGGTCGGATGAGCAGCACTGGTAAGAGGATCGGTTACAAGGGAATTTGGGAGGAGGCAGTGATGCTGTCCGCGTACTGTCACGGGTGTCTTTGGTCTCTGAGCAGTGACCATTGCAGAAGAGTTGCTGGACTTGGTGACAGTTTATGTAGAAGATCCGAATGCCCCCAGCATCCTGAAGAAGCTCCAGGTCCTACAGCAAAAACTGGAGGCTGGAAGGAGAGGTCTGTGCACAAGAAGTTACTCACAAACTGCTACGTGGATGGCAGAGAGGGCGGGGGAATGTGAGGAAAGCAGAGCGGGGAGCCAGCAGGCGGGTGGGCAGTGGGCAGGAGGTGGGAACTTGCTTCCTCTTGCACCCTCACAGTGTCCTCTCACAGGAAAGTGTCAGGCTTCCAGTGGCCAGGTAGGAAATACGAACTCATGAAAGGAGGCTGCCTGGGGCTAAGGGAATAAGGGAGGAAGAACTGGGGGAAATGCAGTGAGGTCGTCGGTCACTCAGCTCCAGCCAGCTGTCGCCACGGTAGAAGAAGGGACCCCAGACAGCAGGAATGCGGATGAGCATCTGCCGTTGTGCCAGGCTGTGCCCCACAGGCCAGTTGGGTCTTCACAACAGCCCTGTGAAGTAGGCGATCCTGGTATCCACAGTTTTAAGTGATGAAACCGAGAGAGAGAGAGATTGAGTAACACATTCAAGGTGATGCAGTGTAAACAGCGGTGCGGCATTCAGACCCAAGCTCTCTGGCTCCAGTGTATTAACAACTAATGACTAAAAGCCAAAAAGCCGCAATTGGGAAAAGCCAGTGAAATCTTCCATTGCTAACTGATCCATATTTGTTTTAGGGCATGGCATGAGTTGAACGTATGAAGGGCAGGATTAGACCCCTGGATGGCTGGTTGCTGTAGGATGAGCATAAAAGGGAAAGCAGTGGGGAAGATCACGGGGTTGCATCCCAACCCCACCCCTTGCTAGCTGTGTGACCTTGGGCAAGTGATGTACCCTCTCTGTTCCTGCATGCATCTGTTTTTTATGGTGGTGATGACCCACGTTTCTCCTAGTGCAGTGAAGGTGGAAGGATAGAGTTCATGGCGAGTGCTTAAAGGTGGGCCTGGCATGTGCTAAGTGCTCAATAGATGTGCTCAGAATTAACGTCTGGGTGAGGAAGAGAGGGCTGGACATCATCAGTTCGGTTCGTGGGCATAGATTAGTGGGTGTGGATAAAAGTGGAGGTGGAGAGGGCTTAGAACCAAATCCTGAATCCCAGCATGGAAAGGAAGAGTAGAGGCAGAAGAACAGACAAAGGAGAGGTAAAATAAGAGGTGGAAAAGTAGGGGAAAACGATACAGTGTCGAGGTCACCAGCAGGTAAGGGAAGAGAGCCTGCCCGGAGAAGTCACCAGCAGTGGTAGGAGGAGCTGTTGGGCATCACAGAGCAGACAAACTGGGCACGCACGGTGCGTCGACCCAGTCTGAATGGACAACCACTTGGGTTTCTAGGGGAAGATGAAGTCAGTGAGAACGCACTCGTATGGCTGGCTGAGATGGTCCAGAATTGGAACAAGGTCTCCCCAGAAGAGCGGGGGAAGTTCCTGGAACGGCTCGTACAAAGCATCGTGAAACTAGAAGAACATTCAGGCCTGAGTTCACACCCAAGGCTTTTTTCCAAAGGTGCAATGTCCAGTAAGTACCACATCCATCAACGTGCTCTGTCTCCTCACTGGTGCACCTCTCTAGGCCGTCCTGCAGTGGGAGGCTGTAGAGGGTGCAGACATCCCGTGGACCACTCCTCTACCAAGGATGTCCTGATTTGTTAGAACAGCACAGGCCCAGGGGCTACAGAGGGGAACAAACAGATCCCTTGCCTGCCCTGAGAGTCTCACAGTCTAGTGGGAGAGATGGAGCATAGACAAGTAAGCCAGCCTCAAGCAAGACCATTCCTGATGGGGCTAAATTCCATGGAAAAAGGAGAGAAGAACAGGTTCCTGGTAGGAAATTCTGAGTGACGTGGTATGGATGAGTGACAGCAGTGACAAAACTGTTCCCTAAGGTCTAAAGTGACCCAGAGGCAGCTGGTCCACCCCACATCACCAACCCCTAGGTCTTTCCCCACAAGCCGCCAAAGTCTGTCTTCTGTGAGGACTCACCCAGCATCCGGGCAGACACACGCTGCCCTTCTTATCAGCAAATCCTCAATTCCCCAAGGAAAAGATGGCAAACTTCACTGTCTCCAGCCTTTCTTTAGCTTTTCCTTTGTTGTCTTCCTCTTTTTCCATCTTAACAAAAATTCTTATTTTATCTTCGTTGAATGAAATCCATCTGCTGGTTTCCCTGGCCTATAATTTCAGTAGCAAGGTTGTCATTGCCTTGATGCCTTCGGGTAATTCTTGGCCGGGTTCCCATTAGATGGAGTTAAAGAAGGATGTTGGCTGGGGGGCAACTGAAGAACGACGGTGAGCTCACTCAAGTGAAGACCTGGAAAAGCCAACTTTGGCTCCCGGCTCTATCTTAGAGATGAGATACGCCGATTTACCCTCCTTGGGTGGTTCATGGAAAGAGATGGTGGTCACCACACTGCAATATGCTTTTTGGGCTTGCTTGTTTTTTGAGCCAGAGTCTTGCTATGTATTTCAGGCTGTCCTTACAGTTACTATATAGCCCAGGCAGGCCTTAAACCTGTGGCAATCCTCCTGCCCCAGCCTCCCAAGGGCTGAGATTACAGGTGTGTGCTACCATGCCCAGCCTCCTATGTGCTTTTCCGTAATAACCTCAGTCTGTGCTCAAAGAGAAGCACATATCTTTAATGTACCATGTTATAAAATGATGTGTATAGCTTTACTTTTCTGGCTAAGCGTTGTGTGTTTAAGTTAGATCATACCATTATGTTGTATGCAACACTTTTTTCACCTATCTTGCTTCTGGATTCACCGCTTTGAAGATGTTTTGGTGACTTCAACTTCTTTCATCTTCTTATTTCTCTTTAAAGGAGAGAAGTTTTAAAAAGTATTCCAAGTCAAGCCTGGGAAGCAGAGAAGGATGCCCCTGTCTTCTTGCAGGAAGAATCTGGCTTTCTATACATGCACTGCCACCAACTTCTGTCCTGGCTCTGTCCACTTACATTAGCCACGGGCGTCTTCATTAGGCCAGGAAGGGACGTTAGGCCAGGCTGACGTAGAAAGGGAGGTGGCATTAAATGTTGAAGAGCCATGAAAAGATGAGCAGGGATGTGTGGATTGCTAAAATACTGCAGCAGAGAGTGCGTATTAAATGGCTGTTGTTTGCCAGCTGCATTGGTCAAGGTTCTTCAGAGAAACAGAACCGTTGTGCAGATTCAACCAACCATGGATCGGAGCCATTTAAGCAATGTGTCTGTCTTGAGCATGTGCTTTCTTGTCACATTTCCTAAGTGATATAACGTAACAGCTTCTGTTGAGTTAGGTATGACAGGGCATCAAAAGACGACTTAAAGTCTGTGAAGGATGAGTACGGTCTCTAAGAAAATACTGTGCCATTTTATATAAGGGACTCGAGCACCATTGGAGTTTGCTGTGCTTGGGAGTGGGGGTCCTGGAACCAGTCACCCATGACTGTGTATCTATATCTGACCATGTGTATCTATAACCGTATCTCTCTCTCTCCATATATATATCTGTATCTGTCTATATGTCTATATGTATCTGTGTATCCATCCATTTAAAATCTGGCTGAAGGAAATGCAGGGACTGGCAATTTCCAGCTCCACAGGGCAGGCCAGGATCCTGGTTAGGGGCTTGAGGTAGAATTCCTCTTATATAGAACCCTCATTTTCTTGCTCTTAAGACTTTCAACTGACAGGAAGAAGCGCAGGCTGGGCATTCCCGGCCTGCTGTAGCAATCTGCTGAGGCTGCCGTTACACAGTTCCACAGAGTGGGAAGCTCTAACCACATACGCGTGAGTCTCTATTCTACAGGCTGGAGTCCAAGCCCAAGTTACTGGCAGGGCTGTGTTCTCCTCATACCTCTCACCTGGGCCTGCAGATAGACGGCCTCCTTTTTACCTTTTCCTCATGTGCCCTTTCTTCTGTGCAAGCCCAATCCCTTGCATCAGTTCCTCATTAATATGACATGAGTCCTGTTGGATTAGGGCCTCCCCTCATGGCCTCATTTAGCTTTAGTCGACTTCCCTCAGTGCCCAAATACAGTCACACTGCAAGTCAGGGCTGTGACAAAATTTGGGGGCGGGCAGGGCACAGTTCATCCCATGACACTCACCTTCCCCTCTCACTTTTCCCCTCTAGAGATACTGGACACCTGCAAAGTTCTGGTCAAAACTGTAGTGTGCTGTTCCAAGTGGGAATGGGGGACCATGAACAACTTCCTGTATAAACACGGTAGGCAACAAAGCTCCTCTCCCGTCTTCCCAGCCCCAAGTTGGGTGGGGTGAGGTAGGGGAAACAAGGAACTTGAAATGATCTCACCCCATCCCTCCTCAGAGCTGTGGAGTGGGGGTGGGAAGGCCCTCGTGGTTCTGAATGGACACCCTGGCCCTCTGTCTGGTGGTTCCCAGTTCAAGGGATTGTGAAAGTCTGTTTTTCTCTGTCTCTGAAAAGGATGCAAAAACTCTAATTCCTCATCGATCAGTCCTAGGATCTGGCTTATATGGGTTGTTTTGTGGGTTACCCCCATTATCTGGGTAGAACTGATTTTGGTCTCTGGGTGCTCTCTCCAAGGGCCACTCTATAATCTCTCTAAGCTGCTGTGTTCCTGGCTGATGAATGCCTCGTCCCAAGGCTGTGCCAATTCTTGCATATTGGAGAGATTGCTACTCTTCTGTGACAAGACTACGGTGGACATCTTTGTGTTTGGGGCCCTGTTGTATTTGTCGAAGTCAGGAAAAGTTGCATCTCCCAGGATGGGGTGTTTCAAAATGTGCCCCTCCTTGGTGAGGGCTGTGAATGTCTTGCAAATCGTATCAGTCCATTGTTTCTTTGCTATCACAAAATACCTGAGGTACTTTATAAAGAAGAAAGGCTTAGCTAACACAGAGTTTTAGAGACTGAAAGTCCTGGCTGAACAGCAGCCTGCACTCGCTTCTCTTCCAGTGCTTTGTGCAGGGCAGGCTCTACAGCTGAGATTGTGCACAACTCCGTTCACACATCCACATCCTGGCCTTGGAATAGACTGTCAGATGGAGAACCAGTGAATCTCCTCCTTGGTCCTGCAGGTGACATCAAAGAAAAGGAAATGCGCAACCGGAAACTCCTTCACCTGGTGGATGCTGGTTTTGCCATCAACTCTCCCTACCCTCTTGTTCTGCTCCCTGCACGGAATGTCCAGCTCATCCTCTCCTTTGACTTTAGCGCTGGGGATCCTTTTGAGGTAACCAAGCAAGGCCTTGGTGGGGTTCCTGGGTGGTGGTGGAGCTGTGTGGGGAGGAGCTAAGGCCCAGGAGGGAAGGGAGTGGTGGGAGGTGTGGCTAGAGGTCTGTAAAGCAAATCTAGCGGCATTTCGCACCGGAAGCACTCATGATCCGGCAACACCCCAAGGGCCTCTGATCTGCTAAGTGCAGTTCAGAGATTCCCGGGCTCCTCTTCCTGACAGGTGGTTCTGCCACCAGCTGGGCGCTGCCTTTCCACCATAGCAGTGTGGGCTGTGACAGGTTAGCTCTCCACCCCTGTGCCTGGTCCATAGCGGGTGTTGAGTAGGAACAGTGGTGCTTAGGCGGGTGACGACAGAAACGACAAGAGCAGTGGTAACGAACACAACAGCGTCTGTTAAACTTTTAATCAGAAAATACTACACACAGCTATGTTGTCTGATAGATACGTGGGTTGCATGTGACATTTGAGCACTTGAAATAGACCCAGTCCACAGAGATATGCTGCGCGTTCGAACACTTTAGATTTTAAAAAATGAATGTAGGAAATGAATATAAAAGACTTGTCAAAAAAAAAGACCTTGTCATTTTTTTATTGGTTGCTCACACTTTTGACATTTTGAGTTAACTAACATTATTTTTAAAAATGGTTTTTCCTATTTCTTTTGGCTTATTGCTATGGCTTGGATCTTGACTGTTCCTCAGAGGTCCGTGTTAGACACTTGGTCCCCAGCATGGTGTTATTGGGAGGCAACGAACCTTTGAGAGGCCTAGTGAGAGGGCCTCAGGCCCCTGGGCGAGTTCCCTCGAAGAGGGCTGTGGGACCCAGGCCTTTTCCTCTTTCTCTCTTTGCCCCTTGACTCGTGATATTTTGCTTTGTTATACACTCCTGCCATACTAAGCTGCCTTACCACAGGCCCAAGGGAATGGAGCCAACTGACGATGGAGTGGAGCCTCCAAAATTGTCAACCAAAATAAGCCCTTCCTCTTTTCAACTACTAGGGATTGAACCCGAGACCTTCACACTGAGTTACATCTCCAGCCTTTTTTTTGGTTTTTGTTTTATTTATTTATTTTTAACAGGGCCTCGATGAGTCCTTAAGCTGCCCAGGCTGGACTTGAACTTGCAATCTTCCTCCCTCAGCTTCTGGATGTGCAACACCATTCCTAGCTAACTTTTCCTCTTTATAAGTTGATCACCTCGGGTATTGTGTTGTAACAGCAAACTGACACACTTATGTCAAATGTAACCAGATAGTTTGAAGATACTTATGTGGCCTGTATTCCAACCCTTTTTGGGGTTACCTTTTCCTCACCTTCTGGGTTTCTCAGCCCCCAGTCTTTAGGGTTACTCTCAAGCTCATAGTCACCATGAACATCTCTCCCCAGTTGTGCTGGTAACTGGGGGAGCTTTCATGTATAGAAGGCGGCACCCGTGTCTAAGCCAATACCTATTATGCTATGTGTCTGGGCTTTTTGCTGAGGTCCTGGTAAGTCTCCAGGCCCCAGGAACCTTCTGGAAAGACCTCCAGACAAGACTCTGTTGCCTCCTTCTTAGACCATCAGGTCTACTGCTAACTACTGCCACGACCACAAGATCCCCTTTCCCCTGGTGGAAGAGGCCAAGCTGAAGGAGTGGTCAAGAGCCCCTGAAAGCTGCTACATCCTGAAAGGGGAAAATGGACCTGTTGTGATGCATTTTCCATTGTTCAACACAGACACCTGTGAAGGTAAGTGCATGAGGAGAAGTAGGATGAGGAGCCACCAGATCATAATGGATGAGGCTGAGCTACAGCTAAGGGACATCTGGTCTACCCTTCAACCCCTGAAGGTCAAGCGTATGTGAGCAGGAACCTTTGTCATGTTCACTCTGTGGCCTCCTGGAGATTTCTGTGCTTTCTGACTCAGTCTTAGAAGTTGCCTCCTCTCAGAGAGGCATTCTTGTGCTCCCTGAATATCCAAGCCTTTCCGCCTCCATCCTCTGGTCACAGGTAAATAGCCCCTTAAAAGGCCAGCATCCAGGATGAATGGTCCTATAGGGCTTGACCGTACCACTTCCCACTTTGGATTCTCAGGGTCTCTTGTCTTCTCTGCTGTACCTGCTGAGTGAGTCCTATTGGGAATTCAAATGTGTGCTTCTTCTTCCTTCATTTAACAGACATTCACTGGTCACTTATACTAGCTCAGCCATCATTTCCAGTGATTTAGGATAACGTAGAGAAAAGACAGATTCTCTCCTCATGTGGAACATTGTGCAGGTAGGGAGCATAGATGATAAACATATAGATGCGTTTATAATGTAATGTGCCAGTAGATCTTTACTTATATTCATAGGTGAATGGCTACACCTTGAGACCTTAATATTAAGTGAAATAAATCAGATATACAAGCTTATATATTGCATGGTTTCTCTCATGTGAGAAACCCGAAATATAAATAGAGAGCAAAATTAAAAAAAAAAATAGATAACAGGAAGTAGGGAGATTTTTTTTTTTCAAATCAGAAAGAGGGAGGGAGGAAAGGAAATGGGATAGAATAAGAATTGGAAATAGCCGGGCATGGTGGTGCATGCCTGTCATCCCAGCCCTCGGGAGGCTGAGGCAGGAGGATCACAACCAAGTACTGGGATAGCTGGATTTTGTCCACGGTGATAGTTTTGCAAACCCCTGGCGTAAGTGGACAAAACTAGTGGAACTAATTACCCAAACCTGTGGTGCATTCTCTTCCTTTATTTGAATCTACTTCAGGTGGCATTCGGAAATGGAGAGAAACATACAGCACCTTCAAACTGGCTGACAGCTACTCTCTGAAACTGGTGACCCAACTCCTGAGTCTGTCCAAGAAGAACGTCAGGAAAAACGAGGAGAAACTCCTCAGCGAGATACGGAGCGTGGCCAGGTGCGTGTGAAGCCGGAGCTGCAGGAGTCAACCCAGAGAAAGGCAGTGTCTTCCCTTTTCAGATTGCGTCTCTGCAGGGCAGAAAGATAGTGAGCAGCATCAAGGAGTGAACAGCACTCTAGAGAAGTATGGGGCCAGGTAGGCTAATTTTCTAAGTGTGTGGTAACAAAGCCCCACAGGCACGGAGACGTGAAACCCAGGAATGTGTTGTCTTCCAGTTCTGGAGGCTACAAATTCAAGGCATGGTGTGGGCAGAGATGGTTTCTTCTGAGGGTCTTGAGGGAAGGGTCTGGTTCCGACCTCCCTCCTGGGCTTTCCAGAGCCATCTTGCCCCTGTGTCTTTTTATACTGTTCTCCTTGCATGCACAGGCAAAATGACCCTTTCTTTTATGAATACTAGTCATATGGGATTAGGGCCCATCCTAATTACCTCACTATTACTACATTGCCTCTCTAAACAACCTGCTTCCAAATAAGATCATGCTCTGAGGTACTAGGGGTTAGGACTTCACCACAGGAACTTGGCAGACACAACTGAACCCACAATACCGGGTTAGCAGAGAAAGCCAGGTCAGACTATCTGAGACCAGGTATCCAGGGCAGGTATCCTGAAGGGGTTACATCACAGCAGGATCTGAGCATAGCGTAGGAACCACCTTGACACTTTCTGCCTGTGAGACAGGGTGGATCCCGAGGGAGACTCCACATTAGAGTCTGAGGTGGGAGACAGCCCAGAGAAGAGGGTGAGAAAGAGGCAGAGGCCGTGATGAAGACACATCGGTCTCCTTTGCTGCTGCAGCAGACTGTCACCTGTGGGGAACAGGGAAGGGGGATGCTACTAGAAACTGTAGTAAGTCCTAGTCTCCTGTGAGCCACAACAGCACGAGGAGAATTAATTAACACATAGAGATAAGACTTAGAGAAAAAGCTGAGCTTTGGCCCGATCCGTGCTGCTCTGAGCAGCAAAGACCCCAGACTCAGAGCTCGCCATAGCTTTATTCAGAACATCAGCAAAACAAAAGTAGCAATGGACTCCGAGGGCAAGGCTGGTGACGATCCTGGAGCAACGAGGGACTATGCAGATGAAGATTTGGTTCCTCCCAGGATGTCTCCAGCTGGTGTGGTCCTGCCGTGGAGCATCACAGCTTATCAGGACCGTTGAGGTCTTAGCTGTGACCGGAAGGGAAGAGGAGCTATGTCTGCACGTGCCCATAGCTGGCCTGTGGACAGCAGAACTACGCCCTAATCATGATTTAATTATGAAACGATTTTTCCAAAAAGACATACAGAATTGCTCCCAACAGTCACCAACTTAGAGAATTTTTTTAAAAACCCACAGATTTATTCTTGTACAGGTCTGGAAATGAGAGCTCAGAAGTGCGCGCATGGGGCTAGTAGCCAAATGTCAGATAAGATCACATTCAGAGGTTCTGGATGTTAGGACTTCAGTGCATGAATTTGGTAGCCTGTGGAGGAGATGAAATGCAGCTCATAACAGAAGCCCAATCTTATCTCTTGGGTAAGACCAGTCGTAGACTCCAAGAAGAGCAGCAATGAGTGACCAGATTCAGCCACCCAATGCTACCCCAAGCCATGAACTCGTCCTTACTTGGAACCTGTGCCGCTCACTGGGGAAGACACCCAACCCGCCCAGCTCTCTCACACCGCCGGCTGACTCCTCTTAGCTTCATGTCAGTCCTCAGTCCTGCACAGGAACCCGTCTCCAGTCTTCAACTTGAGAGGTCCCCTGACGCATCCTCCACTCTCCTGTGCCCTTCCTACCCCCACACTCCTAACCTGCTGCGCTCACAACCGGTTCATACTAATTCCTTGACTCTTTCTCTTCATACAAAAGTGTGCCGCCGTGGGGGTCAGGGAATACATCCTTTTGCTCACCGAGGTGTTCATTCATTGATTCCACAGTCACTTATTTGAAGCTTACTGTGTACCTGCCTGCCAGGCACCACCCCAGAAGCTGCAGGCACAGCAGCAAACATGTTAGCTAAGGGTCTTGCTGTCCTGGAATTTATATTTTCTGGGCTGCAGCCATGTCATTCCCAGGTAAACCAGTGACTGGGGAGGATGTGCGTGGAAAGTGATTAGTGCCTTCTATAAAGACAGCGAAACACAGTTTGTCCTGGGAAGTGAAAAGGGTTCCCTAGGAATAGAGCGGGGTGGTCTGGGAAGGCATCTTGAAGAAGCACCCTTTTCCCTGGGACTGGATGCTGAAAAGTGGTAGCCCTGAGGACGTCTGGGGGAGCAGAATTCCATGCAAAGGGAAACAGGTACAAATGCTTGTACTTGGGGTAGATCTGGCATCAAACCCAGCAGCCCCTAATTGTGTCCAATGTGCGACATCTTCTGTAAAGAAGATGGCAACTGCTAACACCCCTTCCCTGCGGCTGCCGTGCCGTGGTGGTCAGGCCCACGTGGCCCCACCCGACGGCTTCCGCCATAGCCCACCGTCAGCTGCCGTTTTGTGGAGACAAGCTCCAGCTTGCAGTGTGCCCCAGGACTGCTGGTCCTTCAGGGTCCTGGCATCCACCTGGCCCTGCTGTTCTCCGCGTCCTTCAGTTAATGTTACCGTAGCATCAGGTTCACGTGGGCCATTCTCTCTGGGCCAATTTTTAGTGACCGCCTAGAGCGTATCTTTAACAGCATCATTCAACAGAAGTCGTTCCAGGAACTGAAGATGGTGGAATGAGTCCTGCAGATCCTTCAGGAGACCCCGGAGCTGGAGTACGACCCTCTGACCCCCAGAGCCACCACGGCTGATATCTAACCATCAGTGTATGCGGTGATCAAGACCGAAGCCACTTCGTTTTTCTTTTATTTGGCTCTGTGGAGGTAACAACCTGGGTCTAAATCGTCATCTGTCTCTTCCAAGGGAGCTCTGAGAATACAAATGTTCAATAAATGCATGCCGATTGATTAACAGATTGACTACACGTGTCTCTCGGTCTGCCACCACCTCCGCCTTACTGTACCCCTTTGCAACCTCCCCGTACCCCTTCGTTTCCTGCATTCTCTGCATCTGGCCTTCTGCCCCTTCCCGTCTCTCCTCCTAGGTGTCTTCTCGCCCGTCGTTTTCAGGTAGACACCTTCCTTGGCTCCACTGTCCCTATCTGCCCCCGTGGCCACCCTCTGTCTGCCCTCTTTTTTCCATCCCACCTGCCTGTATCTCTGTCATTACAAGCGAGGGCTCCACCGCTGCGTTTAAATCCTGCTTCTGCTACCTGATCGCCCGAAGAGTACAGGCAAGTTTCTTTGCCTGTTGCCTGGGTTCCATCGTCTGGAGAATAGGTAGCTCTGTGAAGTTTATATCGTGGAGTGGTTTATACGAGTTATTATATGAGTTAACTCTGAAGACCTTGGAATGGCATCCAGCACAGACTGAGTGTTCAAGAGATGTCAGTCATTACTTTTTAAAATCAAATTTTATTTTCCATTGGTCCCCGTTCACAGTACACAATGATTACATTCCTCGTGGGTAGCCATTAATATAGCGGCTTTCCACAATTAAAGACTGTTACGAGTGTCTCCCCGAAAGACGTTGCTGTCATCACCTCCCTTGCGCACACAGATATCTCCTTGCTTACTTCACGCGCCAGCATTCCACACCGACCTGCCAGCGCCTGGATTTATCCTCACCTTCTCAGGCCCCGTGTGTTACCCCATTTTCCATAGCTACAGCAGAGTACTTGAAGCTATGTACTGAATAAAGAAAAGAAGTTTACTTAGCTCAAGCCTTTGTAGGGTTAAGGGTATGACGTTGGCGTTTGCTGCTGTGGTGAGGGCCTCTTGTCTCTACTTCCTGGTGGATGACGTGGTGGTGGGAGGACCCGCAGGAGGAACAGGTGATGTGGAGAGACCAGAAGAGAGTGTGAGGAGGGGCCGGGCTATAACACTCCACTTATAACACTCTTGGAAACTAACCGGAGGCCCCATGGAGCGTGTGCTCATTCCCTGCAAGGACAGTGCCCCTGATGACCTCCATTAGGCCGCACCCCTTAAATGCTCTACCGTGACCCTACCGCACTGAGGACCAAGCTCCCCATGCATCAACCCTTTCAGAGCACACTGAAGCCACACCTGAACTGCAGCCCCCTCTGGACCGTGCTGCGGGACTCCCCTACCCTCATTCCCGTGGGAACGCTGTCTCTCCACACCGTGGCCAGGGATGCCTCACCCTCTCCCGTCCCTTGTGCTTCCCACTGAGTCAGAGGCACAGCAAATATCCCGCTGTCCTCACCGGGCATGCCCACTTCCTGAAGCTCTGGCACTGGGCAATTTTTGTGGCCCACTCACGGTACACATCACAGGTTTAGTTGCAAAGTTCTTTGAGAGCAGAGGCCACGTCTTCTCCATCTTTACCGCCCAGAGGCCAGGCTGAGAGTGGGTACTCAGAATGTGTGTCAGAGCATTGCATGAATGGTTGCTCTGTGCTCTAATCCCCATTTCAAAACATGTTTCCTCTGTATCACTCTGGAGAACAGTTTCCAATTCCATCCTGGAGATCAAAGGTCTGCATCATCCCTCCCCAACCACCCATCCAGCCGTGTCCTCTACAACCACCCTTTGAACTGTTACGTTTTGATGCAAGCATGAAATCTAACAAGCACTGTTCTCCTCAATTTCTGTTCCTCTGCAACTGATGTTCTGCCCCCTTACCATACCTTTAGTTTGTCTTCTTCAAGGACACGTTCCAACTGCCCTTTGCCAAGGCTTCCCTTTTCCTTAGCTGGGTGTGTGACTCCCAGGCTGAGCTGAACAGAAGTTTCTTAGTTCCTCCCCATGGAAGGTGTTTAATGTTTGCTTCCAAGGCTGTATTTGCCTCCATCCTGGAAGGCACTGGACAAGTCTTCTCTAAACTCTATCTGCTCTACAAGTCCGCAAAGCAGACATAGTAGATATTTATTAGAAACTTGCTGGATCTAGTGAGGCTCAGGTGCGTAGTGGACATTAATGAAAATCAGAAAAAGGTAGAGGTGGGGATGAGAGACAGATCTTTGGGCCACCCATAGATAAGAGAAGGACAGGGTCACCTCGTGACATGGCAGAGCCACCGAGCCACAGTGAAGTCTAGGGCCACTGCATTCCTTTCAGGGTTTGCCTTTCTTGCAGTGGTTACTCTTACCAGCCTCCGTTTCCTTGGGTGTAAGATGGCATCCCTGCAGGACAGTTGAAAATAATGAAATAGGACACCAACAATTATGATTTATGGAGCACTCATTTAAACCATCTTAAACATCTTGTGTGGGAGATGGGGATCCCATGAGTCCTGCTTTATAGACGCAGAAGCAGAAGCATAGAGAGGTGAAGTAATTCCTCCAAGGTCCACGTCATTGTTTGCTGCGTAGGAAATGTTCAAATAGTGTTGGCTGCTGTAGCAGAGGCACCTCATGGGGACTTTTCTTTGCAGAATTTGTGAAAATGATGTCTCGTCGAGGAGCTCCTGGAAGATCCAGATCCTCTCTGCCTGGCAACATGGCTGAAACGCTTGGAGAGGACCGGCTCTCTGTGACCCCCTGCATGACGGAGTGTGAGAGGGTGGAGCGGCCTTGCACAATATGGACTGAGGTCTCACTGAAGGAAGTAGTTTTGCTGGAAGGGAATGGGAGGCACCAGTAAAGCTAGCTTCAGAAAGAAGAGCCCGTGTATGAAACATCAGTGGTACTAGGGCCAGGTTGCCATTCCAAAACAACCAAAGATTAATGGTATCTTTTTCCTTTGCATAATCCTAAACTCCTGCAACCTGCCAGAGTCCCTTCCCTAGCTTTCCCTTTGCACAAAAGTCTATCCATGCCCACTGCAGTCTTCAACTTCTGTAGGAGGGAACATAGCCGTCCTGGAGCTAGAAGCTGGGATCTTGGCCCTGTGGGCTTGGAGAGGGTCATTAGGAGGCACTCGAAGAGGATCTTTTCCTGAGTTCCTGGAAGCACAGTTTATTTTTTCCCCTGTGACCTCTCACACACCCTCTCTCGGTGTAAAATACTCAGGGGAACTGAATTAAATCACAAAGCTGGATTATGAAGGCTCAAGGCAAGCTGATCTTCCCTGGGGAATTAATCCTCCACAAAATATCATGATGGAGAGAGAGAGAGAGAGAGAGGTCCCCAAATCCCTCCCCCGCTCGGCCAGGTGGTCTGCCCTGGGCTTCTCTAGATCTCTGTGTTAGATGGGAAATGCACTCTGCACTGATGACAACCAAAGAGTCTGGAATATTGATGAATCTACTTGGATCAAATCATGGGAAATATTTGGGGGGCAGCTCAAGGCAATTAGTAAACTGTAAAGCAAGCTTTAATAGCCAAATATCCATGACAGAACATTCAGGCAAGGACCATGTTATTCTTTGAGCCCTGGCACATTCAGTGCTTGGAGGCTTGTCTGTCCCGAGTCACGGGGTAGTTGGAACTGGCACCCTGCCATTTCTCACTGTTGATTAGTAGGAAAGACTGTGTAATGGCCTTGGAGAATATCACAGAGAAGTGTGGGAGCAGCTTTTCTAGTCGTCAAGAAAAAGAACATAAAATGCACCTCAAAACCTTAGGGCACATGTGGCCAATCTAGAAAGCATTTTGTCAGTGGCAGATGCGGGTATGTGAACCAGATACTAGTCACCATTTATGGCAAGGGAAGAGAGATGGATTTTGCCACTTTCTCTAAACTCTTTACCACCGACGGCTTCACACTTACACCCTTGACTCCATAAAACCCCAATAACTATTCCTTAGTTACTTCAGCAACCAGCTTTCATTTCTACTTTTTCTCCTCAAGATTCAAATGCAATTAGCAATGTCTTCTTGTTTGCTTGCTTTTTTGCCTTCTTACCAAGATCCGTAGAGGCGGAATGTCACAATTCTTCAAGTCCTCCCTCTGGGGCTGGACTGTTTAGGTGTTGTTTTTGGTGCTGGGGATCAAACTCAGGACCATGCACTGTGAGGCAGATGGTAGCACCACTGAGCTACATCCCAGGCTCCTGTATTGTTTAGGTTTTAAACCCTGTCCTCTCACTACATTTGGACACAGGTTGGGCATGGTGGTGCACACCTATAATCCCAGCATTCAGGAGGCTGAGATAGCACTCTGGAGGCAGACGGGCAACGCTCAGCTAAAGAAGGAGGACTGCAACCAGGACACTGTGGACTCTTCTGTTGTGTCAGAGGGTTATGGGCTATTTTGTTTTTGAATTAAGAATCTATAAGCCTAAAGATTATAGGTTTGATATAAATATGTAACCTTCAAAAGTATTAAATGGGAACCAGAGGGACATCCCCGCACACTTTTCTTTGATGCCTGCCTGAAAGAACATTATTAAAACCCTGGTACTGATAGAGAGAACTTTTGTAAATAATCTAAAAACCTACAAAGTGTTAGGAAAATGTAAAATGACTTTTGCTGTCCTTACCAGCAATCTGCTTTGTTTAGTTCACAAATAATAAGCACTGGATGTATTAACCATGAAGTGGGACATTTGGCCTCATCCTTCCTCTTGAACACCCACTTCCTGTGCACTAGGATAGGTAGATAGAGGAATCTTAAGGTAAACTCCCCAACTGCAAGGAACTGTTACGCCTGGGTTAAAGTTAACTATTTTGTGACCATGATGTAAAGTGAGGAATAAAATGCAACCACCTGAATGAAGTCAAGGATGTAACACCCTACAATAGGAGGAGTTGTAACCCAGTGCATCATCCATGGAGGCACTGCACTTAAGTGGGATCAACCTTTGTCAACAAATAAAACTTTGGTTATTTTACTTCCATTTTGCACCTCTCTGTAAGTGTCACTTGTCAATTCCTTCTGCAACAGTACATACTCGACTATGGGGGATATACCCAAGAAAAGGCATACTGTTCAGATAAAACTTGAATATGGTTAAACAGTTCCAATGTAGCCAGAGATACCGGCAATTGTGGTAAATGTAAACAGGGACAATGTAACCCCTTAAATATATCTGGAGCTAGACCCTGGGATGTAAGTTGGCTGCAGGGAGTGATTTTTCATGTTTACATCAACTGCTAGACATGGACCTCAAGATTACAAAGCTGGATTATGAAAATTAAAAAGATCTGGAAAAACACTCCTCCAGAAATAGGAAAAGCTCCTGCGCTACAGGAGATACAAGATATACTTAAAAGGGCATCCAAGGAATTATACAGGAATAGATATGACAGACTTAATTAATGGAACTCGTTTGCTGCTGCTACAAGTAGACGAGAAATTAGCCTCTGATTGCTGGATTTATGCACCACTCATCATGGTGACTTATCAAGCAACTGACATCGTAAATGACCTGTCCTTACAGCCAGTGAAGCTTGCTATGTACTCCCTGATCAGCCACTCATTAGACATAATTGGTAAGGGAACTTGCTTTCTTGGTATTCACACGTCTCAGCAGTTTGCAGTAATGTTGTTGATTTGTCTTTGACTACTGGTAATTACTAGGCTACAAAAGGAACCTTCTTTCTCTGTAAAAGTGGTGTTTTTAGAGTATTTCAAAACACTCTAGAGGTTCATGTGCTTTGGGGATCTTAATACCCAACTTGTCTGTCTACACTCTTCTTCAGCAATGAGAAAAGTGCCTTTACGTATTGCTGCAACAAGTGGTTTGACAAGAAAAAAGAAAGACCCAATTGTTTTCCCCATCTTAGCAGGACGATCTATAGCTGGCAGCCTCACTCTGAGTGAAACAGCCCTTGGATTAGGGCAGCAACAGTTTGTGGCCCTGGGACAAACAAATCAGGAAGGACCTGGAGGAAATTCGAGATGCTGTTCAAGCCTTAGAAACTCAGTTAGACTCATTGTCTAACATGGTGTTACAAAAGAGACAAGCCCTTGATTTGCTGACTGCTAGAGAGGAAGCACCTGCTTGTTTCTAGGGGAAGAATGTTGTTATTATGCAAACAAATCTGGAGAATCATTAGATAAATTAGGGGATTGTATTAAGGTGCTCAGAAAGGAATTTGATACTGAGGAAACTCACATACGATTTTGGCCTCAATTTGCCAGGATGGAAAGCTGGGTTAACACTCTAGTGGGGCCAATAGTTATTACACTACTGCTGCTCATGTTTGGTCCCTGTATAGTACAATGGATATCTAAAATCATACGCCAGAGGGTAGCTGCTGCCCAACATTATCAAACGCTAATCATGTGGAATAATGAAAAATGGAACGAATTCAATGAGGGGTAAGGAATTACCCCCAGAGACAAAGGGAGAAATCATAAAGAGAACTTCTGCAAATAGTCTGAAACCTGCAATATGTTAAGGAAATATAGAATAACTGCAGTCTTTCATTTCTGTAATTTGCTTTGCTTTGCTTTTTTCTTAGAACAACAGTACCAGAGGTTTCATCATTAATTACAAAGCTTGAAGGCACGTAGCCCCAATTTAAAAGTTATAAGATTAACAGATGCTGCATCCTCAGGGTGAGACTAGATGTTCAAACTAAGATAACAATCACTATACCTTGCAAGCAAAGTACACTTAGACCCTAAACCCTAAACTTTCTGCAAATCATATGACTATAAAAGAGTTAAGGTGGAAGGAATGTCACCAGTCCTGTTTTCCTAATGCTGACCTCCACTCTTGTGGGCCAGAATAGCTAATTAGGTGAAACCTAAAGATAAACATCCTAACCACAAAGGTGCTACATTTGGATTAAAATTAAACTGTCTTGTGATCATGATTTGTAATGGGAACTGAGAGCCCTGGAATGTCTTATCATCAAACTACCTAAAATGAGGTCATGACTGCAAAACTCCTGTGAAAGGCAGACTGTAACCCAGCCCGGGTCGGTCATATGGCACTGCTCTTGATGCAGGCCAACCCTTTGCTAGCAAGGTAAATGTTTTTTTTTTTTTAACCCACTTTTGCGTCTCTGTATGTCACTTACCAGTTCCTTCTGTAACAATATGACACAACCCTGACACAAATAGAGAGTGGGTCATGTAGCTGAAATCCCCACTGATAAATCAGAAACTGAAGATTTGAATATTATACCACCTGGTGTTAAGGCTTATCCACCTTTCACCACCTTGGGAACTGGCATGCTAGGTGTTCTAATGTAAGCCCAGAGCCATTTACCTTCACTTTTGCAGGAGATGAGAATTGAGCCCCTGTATGATCCCTTCTCTGTTAGGATCAGTGGTTATTTTTCTTGACCTGGTGTTGGTGGTATTCGTAGGGAAGCTTTGGTGCACCAACACACATCCCTACCACTTGGTAGGTTTATGAGTTTGGATGAGACGTGTCTCTCCAGAGTATCCCTATCCATTCACACTGTTTGCTTTATATAAAATCTTGATCTGAAAAGTATTTTTACACAGTTAGCCAAGTGCCCTACCCTAGGACATAATGAATATTAAGTTGAGAAATATAGGAACAGTGACTTCTCTTCTGTGCCCTCCTTAGCTACCCCAGAGGACACAGTGTTCTGACTCCTGCACACAGTGTCCTAGACATGCCTTTAGTGTGCATCAGGGGGTGAATTTCTAGAATTTTTCTCACTGATGGTAAATATTTATTAGACTGCCCATAGAAATTCAGAGATAACTGCCCATTGACTTTGGGACTAGAATTTAGGGCATGGAAAGAGTCAGTTCAACAAAAATAGCGAGAAACAAGCAAAGAAAAAAATCAAAAATGAAAAATCTATAGTGAACAGTCTCCCCTAGTAAATAAGGGGAACTTAACTGCTTGCTACAAATATTACCTACTGAATAAGACATATGGAAATGAGTCTTTCCTCGCTATACAGTGTATCCTGGATTGTAATAGCTTTGTACTGAAAATTCTGTTAAGGAAAGTGGCTCCAAAAAGAAAAAAAAAAAGGAGGTATACACTGGGCTCTCAAGTTGAATACACGTGGCTCAAATATTTTAGGTTCAGAAAACAATTCCATAGTCACTTGGTTAGCAAATGTTAGAAAAAAAAATATGGCCTGTCTTTAGGATCTATATTCTTTTCATTCTGCGCATGAAGACTGATTTGGTTCATAACTGGTAATAAGTCAGCATTTTCATTTGAATGACTGCACATTATCTGCTGCTCTGAAGACATCAGGCTTCCTAGGAAGACTCTTAGCATATAAGAACTCACTATGAAATGGGGCAGAATAGAAAGGATTAGTCTTGGGATGCCTGTACTGGAGACACCCACCTACCCATGGGTGCTCATTCTCTCCACCCCCTCTTGCCTTCTTAGATTCCTCTAGAAATCGTGAAATGGGGAAAGAATTGTAGCATGAACTGAGCACACACACAGGAACTAGGATTATGATCGATTCTTTCTAACTGGTTCGTTGACCAGTCAGATGCCTGGAATCTCTAAGATGTTTATATCTAGGAGGCTCATATTGAGTTTGCCTTTCTCACTGTATCCTAATTTAAGAAACAATAATCAATTCCTCTCTCAATGAATCTGTTGGTCATGTACAGGAAGGCTATTGATTCTTTTAGTGTGGACCTTGAATCCAGATACACAGGTACAAATTTCCATTGACGAATGTGATCATAATGTATACCTAAAGTGTACCAGTAAATTTAACAACAACAACAAAAAGAAGTAATAATCAAGGAGCAAATGATATGAAATAGATATGAAAGTATTAGGTGCACTGTAGGACTCTGATTTTCAAATTGCAGTGAACATAGGATTCACTTAGGGGCCATTGCAAAGGTGACTGCTCCTCCTCCAGAGTTTCTGCATATGCAAAGTGAGGTCCAAGGGTGGGTGTTTCTAACACGTAAAGGTAGAGCTTATGGTGATTGTCCAGGATCACACTTGCAGACTATAGCTGGAGAACATTCCAAGATGGACACCCCTGATCTCTTTAAGGATGGTCAGACTTAGGGCCAGGAAGAAACTGCTGTGCAATCACTAAAATCAGGAACAAGACAAGGATGTCTACTATTACAACTCGTATTCAATGTAGTTCTGGAAACTTTAGCCACAGTGATTAGACAAGAGAAAGAAATTAAAGCAATAAAGACAGGAAAGGAAGAAGTTAAGATGTCACTATTTGTTGACTATATGATACTATACTCAGAAGACCCAAAAAAACTCTACCAAAAGACTTCTAGATTTGATTGACAGATTCAGTAGAGTAGCTGCATACAAAATTAATAACTTTCTTGTATGCAAATAACAGACTCACAGAGAGAGAAATTAAGGAAATAATTCCTTTCACAATGGCAGCCCAAAAGAAATATCTAGGAACCAGCCTAATGAAAGAAGCAAAAGACCTCTGCACTGAAAACTACATACTCTGAAAAAAGAGATTGAAGAGGATACAAGAAAATGGAAAGGCGTCCCCTGCTCCTGGGTAGAAAAAGCCAATACAGTGAAAATGGCCATCCTTCGAAAACTGCTATACAGATTAAATGCAATCACAATTAAAATCCCAACAGTATATTTCACAGAGCTTGAGAAAACAATCCAAAAATTCATTTTGAACCAGAAGAGACTTAGAATAGTAAGACAAACTCTGGGCAATGGAGACATGACAGCGGGTATCACAATCCCCAACTTCAGACTATACTACAAAGCCACTCTGACAAAAGCAGCATGGTACTGACAAAGAAACAAACCAGAGGATTAGTGGAATAGATTAGAAGATGCAGAAACAACTCCAGACATACTCAACTATCTCATTTTTTACAAAAGAGCCAATCATCTTCAATGGAGGAAAGAGCCTCTTTAATAAATAGTGTTGGAAAAACTGGCTTTCAACTTACCAAAGATTAAAACTAGGCCCCTATCTTTCACCATGCACTTAACTAAAATCAAAATGGCCAAAATACACACTGAAGAAAGGACATGCTCTTTAATAAATAGAAATGGGAAAACTAACTATGCTCATGCAGAAGACTGAATTTAGGTGATGCACTAAAGTTGAAATGGATCAAAGAACTAAATGTTAAACAAGAAACATAACATGTTAGAAGACAAGATAGGCAAAATTTGAAACCACCAGCATAGACAAAAAATTTCTGGACTCTTGAAGTCATAGGCTTAGGCAAGGGCTTTCTGGACAGAACCGTTGTTGCACAGGAAATAGTTCTGAGAATCAACAAATGGGATCATATTAAATTAAAAAGCTCTACATAGCAAAAGAAACAATCAACAGAGTAAAAGGACAACCTACAGAACAGGAAAAAAAATTTGCCAGTGATTCCCCAGACAGGGGACTCATGTCTAGAATATGAAAGTACACAGAAAAAATTAGACCCCCCAAATAAAAGATGCAATAAAAATGGGCAAACAAAATAAATAGATACTTCACAAAAGAAGTACAAATAGTCAATAAATACAGTAAGAAATACTCAATATGGCTGGTCATTCAAGAAATGCATATTAAAACAACACTTAGATTCCATCTTACTCCAGAAAAAATGCCCATCATTAAGAAATCAAATAAAAAATCCTGGAGAGGCCACAGAGGAAAACTTCTTCTACAACTGTTGGTGGAAATGTAAACTAGTACAACTACTATGGAAATCAGTACAGAGATTCCTAAAAAAACTGAAGCTAGAAATTCGATTTGACTCAGCTACTAGGTACAGGTACCTTCTTGAAAGAGTTAAAGTTGTCATATTATGGAAACACATACATACCCATGTTTATAGCAGCACAAATTATAATTGCTAAATCTTGGAAGTGGCCCAAAGTGACAAAAGAATAAAAAAATGTGTTTACACACCACAGAGTACAACTGCGCTACAAAGAAAGTTAAGCATGGGTCCTTTGTAGGAAAGTGGGTGCAATTTGAAACCATAATGTTAAGTGAAATAAATTAGGCACACAAACTTAAATAACACATTGTTTCTCTTATATAAGAAACCCAGAGTGAAAAAAAGAGAGAGCAAAATAAAGACCGATAATAGGAAGTAGGGAGATAGGCTGTTCTCAAAAGAGAAAGAGATCACGAGACCGAGGGAGGGAAAGGACAAAATAAAAAGGAATCGTGATGTGTTATGTACATATACCGACTTCACACAAGGATTGTAAATATTATGTACCACAAATATGTACAAAAAAAGAAAGAAAGTAGCTCATGGGATGGGTAGAAGGGGGAGGAGGTGAATTAAGAAATTAAAATGGGAAAAAGAATGAAGATGCGTTAGATACACGTACCAATTTCTCACAGCGAACCTTAGTATGTATCACACCTGCACTAATAAACTGAAATTTAAAAGAAAATGGTGTGCAGTAGGTATGAGAGAGCTGCTGGAGTAGGAGGGGCAGACAGGCAGAGTATAAAGTCAGAGGAGCGGTTTCTGTGATGCACACCGTCTGCAGGCCACTGAAGATGATGAGATATCTGGTGGGCTGGGGCGCGCTGGCCGTCTACATGTGTGGGCTGAATGCAGGTGAGAGGCTGTGGTGAGTAGAGGGAAAAGGGAGAGAATCCAGAACAGGAAGAGCTTGAGAGACAGGAAATCAATCGTCCCCAACAACTTTTAAATACAGCATGGGTGCTCCTGGGGAGTACAGGGTCCATAGAGCCCATGATTCAACCTCCTCCACTCTCTTTTTGTCGCTAGTGTTGTTGCTGTTGTGTTGCGGGGGGGGGGCGGATAATCATAGAACAAGCAGCTTTTGTCTCTGAATGAGGCTTTGACTTCTCATTATGTGGGGAAAACAACCTAAAGCCGGAGTGAAGCAGTTATGTATTGTTTGGGAAACTCCTCTAAGGTCTATTTTCAAAGTCCGAAATAAACAGTGTGTGGATTAAGCCATCCCTTGAGTGAAAAAAGAAATGATTAAAGTATGCTTTGTGGGACAGCCACAAATTATCGCTGCAGGCTTTACAGTGACAGCGGTCGGGCCAGTGATGTGGTAAATGGACAGCCATGGCGGAGAGGTCTTTTATGTGTTCCCTGTAACTCACTTGAAATTGGAACTGTCTGAGTGATCTTCATAGAAAACAAACAAACTCAGAGCAGAATGACTAATATTAAGCTCCCATCGGTGCTGTAGGAAGGAGGTGTGATAAACCCTTAGGACAGTAAGTGCCTGGCAGCCCGTGTCCACCAGGAACACACAGCCTCTGTGCACGCTGGGCCCCTCATGCATCACAGCCTGGGAAACACACACCATCAGGTACACAGTGTCTCAGGAAGAGGGTGTGCTTGGGCGACTTCAGAAAGCTCCAGGCCGTTAGATTTACTCAGGATCAGACGCTGTCGGACAATTTTGGCACCGGGTATCTCAATCAACCCTACCTACGGGGGAGGCACAATAGGACAGAAAGAAAGATTTCTAAGGAAACAAACAGCTTTTACAAACTGTGGACAAGAGCCTTGGGTAATCTGTGGATGGATCTTTGCCAGTGCTTGCACAAAGCCCTGAAGTGTTCTTGCTGTGCTGTAGGACGTCGTGACCTCAGAGTAACCTTCTGTGAGGTTGTTACTCTGTGTGATTGTTCATATCCAATAAGAGAACAGCGTGGCCACCTGTGAGTGCCAGTTCAGGATTTGACGTTGGTGGCCGCCTCTTCTTTTCTCATTTGCAGAGCGCATCAAGCATCCTGGGCTCTTGATCAGAGGTGGTGGGCTGCAATGTCTTTGCCATTACTCAGGTGTTTGGTCAGAACTGTGATGTGATAAAGACGTAAATCATGATGACGGGGATTCTATAAAAGTTGGTGTTTTCCAGAAATCATGAGTGTAAGAAATGACAAAGAATTGCTTCTGGGGGCACTGTGGTCGTTCATGAGCAGCTCAGCCTCTGGAACCAGACACAGTGAGATGTGATCAAGGGTGCAGGCAATTTATGATGTGTGCAGAAAATGGAGTGAATATATTTCTCCGCTCTCATCTCTAAAACCAGGAGGAGCCTCTGCAGTTAAAGACAGTAAAGATGGAAGGTTATAAAGAACAGCTGCCCTGTTGGCCAAGCCATGTGCTCTGTGTCTGGAGGAAGTGTAAAATTCACCCATAGAAGCTCTCATCTCGGTTCCCGTATGGAAATATCAGCACCCTTGGCCTTAGCCTAAAGCGACTGCCGCTCACCAGCTGCATTTGGAGAAGGTTCAGCTTGGTGGCAGCGCTCCCAAAGCAGGACTCGGATAGAGACTTAGGTGCCAGAAGACTATCTGAACTACTCTTAGTTCAGAGCATTTGGACATGAGTTTCTAAGGCTCCAATTCGATACTCTCTGTTTCTGTCTCTGTCTGTCTGTCTGTCTGTCTCTGGGTCTCTGTGTAGCTCTATCCTTATTTCTTTCTCTCGCTCTGTGTCTCTCTGAGAGACAGATATCACTATGGTATGTAAATATAAAACATAATAATACCAATGGCCTAAGAATCAGCCCATTTTATGAAAACTACATAGGTCAAGCACACAGGGTTAATTTCCCTGCACAGAGAAGTGGCAATTCCCAGGTAAGGTGGTTTGGATATCGGGTACAGTTTGAATGTGTACCCCAAACAGGCAGCATGATTGAGTCAGGGTGGCCTTACTAGAAGACAGAAAATGAGATAGAGCAGTCTTATGTGACGCCTTCTCAGAAAAAGTTGTTTTATGAGCGGAATTAGTACAACAGGCCACTTACTTCCTTAAGCAAGCACAGGCATGATAAAAGAACAAAATCTTCAAAGGTTAAAAAAAATCCTAGAGGCTAGTGGGCCTCTGGCCCTGATCAAGCATTTCAAGTTGTTTTCGTGAAATTATCAGATAGGCAATAACTAGACTTTTTCCCTCTGACTTTCGGAATTATGAAAAGTTGTCAAAATCAAAATGGAGTTTCCCGTGTCAACCCTAACAGAATAAAATAAAAACTACAGCGGTACTTTTGTTCATGAACTGAATTCTTTTAACGATGCTGGTCGCAAACTGAAAGGACCCTGAAGCAAATCCAATCCAATGGTTAGGTTTGATGTTGACCTTAAGGGTGAATCCCATTCCTTGGTCACAAGGGTTACTGCTGCAAAATACCAGGCACAACCCTCCTTGTTTGGGCTTTTAATAACTTTCCCTTGCCTTTATTTCTTTTCTTTCTTTCTTTCTTTTTTTTTTTTTTTTTTTTTTTTTTTTTTTTTTTTTT